TATGTTTGTGCCTGTATAACAATTTGTATCTTGTCACTTACCACCATTTCTGATGTAATTCAATCAAGCTATTGCAGTAGAAGAAAAATATAAATGTGATGATTTAAAGAAAATCTCTAAAACTTAATACTCGGGATAGAGTTTTAGGTATACAAACTCTGGATGCCTCTACATTAGTTCTAGGACTTAATAATGTCAATTGAGACTATTACATTTGGTCTATTTTTGTGATGCTTCTGCTGCTTTTAATTATTACTACTATTATTAATTATTTAACAGACCATATTTACTTTGCAGAAGAATCACCTGCTGCAACAGAAATTTGTAGTTCATTTCATTTACTGAGAAATAGCTATGATGAACAGAAAAATTAGGATTTTTAGAAGTTCTTTCTTATAGAAAAGTAGTGATAGTTTATGATGAAAACATATCACAGTAACGTAAAGAAAATCTAGGCTTTGGGAACCTCTAAGGGAATTGATTGCAATACCACTAGAGGTTTCTTTGGGTTTTTTTAATCTCATTTTGTTCATAATAATACAGTTTTACAAATGGAAATATTTCTAAAACTTTATAAATGGTGCTTTTTCTACGCAAAAGAGTGATTCTTGTTTGCATTAAATATGTGATGTGAAATTTACTGTGCTGGAATCTGAAGGAAACACGGACACCTGCAGAGAAATCACCTTTTTTATGGCAAATAGTAGAAATAATTTCTCAGTGTTTTATTTTGAATTACCTTGACTCTACATGCAGAAGTAATTGTGTTCTATAATGACTTTGGCTGGCTGGTGAGAGGGAAGGGTAAGACAGGAGGGCTGGAAAGGAAGCAACCTCCTCAAAGTCAGCTGCTCGCAGGAGCTGTGTGTGTTTTGTGGCCCAGGACATGGAATCATAGAATGGTTTGGGCTGGAAGGGATGATCCAGTTCCCCCCCCCTGCCATGGGCAGGGACACCTCACACTAGACCAGGCTGCTTAAAGCGCCTGTGTCCAACCTGGCCTTGAACACTGCCAGGGATGAGGCAGCCACAGCTCCTCTGAGCAACCTCTGCCAGTGCCTCACCACCCTCACAGTAAAGAATTTTTTCCTAATGCCTCATGTAAATCTCTCCTCTGTCAGTTTAAAGCCATTGCCCCTAGTCCTGTCTCTACATGCTGTTGTGAAAAGTCCCTCTCCCGATTTCTTTTAGGCCTCCTTTAGGTACTGGAAGACTGTTACAAATTCTCCACTGAGCCTTCCCTTCTCCAGGCTGAAGAACTCCGATTCTCCCAGCCTGTCTTCATAGGAGAGGTGCTTCTGCCCTCTGATCCTCTTCATGGCCCTAAGGCCTTGGACTTGTTAGAACTTCGTCTTCAGCTGGAGCTGGCTTGGCAAGGCCCCTTCACATAGCTGGTGAGTGCAGGGTGACTGGCACAGAGTAACCTTTTGTGGCCACAGATGACAGGCTGTGAGGTCAGCAAGGGTGAGCTCACCCATGTGGGCTGTAGGCAGTAGAGGCCGAGGCCGTGCATGATGTTCAGTACTCCTTCACTGCCCACGGGGCTGTCTACCTCCACCTCACCATACATTGCCCACGCACGCACAGTCGCCAGCACAGACGTACACGCACACGGCCTTCAGCTGCGCTAAACAGCTTCTTCACTCACTAGGAGAGCGACAGAAATGTTCTGGGGTTTGGATTTTTCACCATGTTCTCTTGTCTTAAAAGATACATCTCACTTGGCAGGCATAATTTAATAACATTTCCAAATTTTATGAAATTTGCTTGGTTTTTGTTTTTTGATTTTTTTTTCTTTTTTAAATACAATGTTCTCAAAGAGAAATGAAGTTACAATATAAAATCACAGCAGAAAAAAAGAAGTGTGTAAATACAACTTTTCTATTAGAAAAGGCAATGTCTGGGGAAGGGCTGGGAAGCAGGTACTTTTTACTTTTTCAAAACAGAGATAAACTTAAAGCCATTCACCATATTTACTCATCCAAAGGTTCAGCTAAATCATATCAGGGTATTGCACCGTAGCAAGAAAAGAAAGAGAAAAAGGGAGATTACACTAAACTAGTTTTCTGAGGGCACAGTTTGTTTCGATGCACACACACACAAAACATCCTATTTTCATGCCTTACATATGGTCATAAATAAAATTATTGAAACACTTGTTTTTAGAGAAATTGAAGACAACTTTGTGCAAAAAAGAAAAACAAACTCCCCCAAAAAACAACAAAAAAGGCAAAACTATAAAAGCCCCTTCATGAACAGAGAATGTTGTTTGCTCCTGCCTTTAGACTATGCCCTCTGATACACTGTCTTAATATACTTACTTACACTACTGTACTGTTTAATATACAACATCAACATATTCTGTTATAGCATAAATAAGAAAACTCCAGACGCAGAAAACAAAACCCACTGTGATTGACAGTGCATTATCATGTCATATGAACCATTTTAGATATATACACACGTACATATGTATATAAAATATTAATGATACACGAAACCACAGATAGGGCATGTGCATGTCGACAAGAAAAGCGACACAGAAACCCCTACGCTTGTGTGTGTGCACAGAGATGTTGTGAAGGCAGTGAACCTACCCAGCAATCAGAAACCACATTTAACACCTAAGTTCAAGGCAGCCTGAAACTCCACTGGAGCTATGCTTGCTTACACGGTTAATGAACGTGGCTTTATTTGTGTTGGATTTTAGTAAAAGCAAAGAAACAAAACCACCTGAGTAATCTTCTGTCCCCTCCCCTTTATAGCTTGGGGTGTCTTAAAACGAAGAGTTAAAAAAAATTATGGCATGGGGTATACAGTGTCTTAAATCTAAGAACGGTAGGAAAATGGTGTAAGAGCAATAAAAGCAGAATATTTCTGTGCAGTCAATGTCTGGCTTCAGACATGACATTGAAATTACTTGGTCTCTTGTTGGCTGGTATCAACTGAAAGTGGAGAGAGGTACAAACAGCTGACTGTATCCCTACCAGCTGTGAAAAAACAAACTTATTTCAACTTCATTAAAAGAAAAAAAACAAAATAAAGAGGATTCATCACTGTAAGCTCCCCCCTTGAAGGTCCTCTTCAGGTCATTCCTATACAAAATATTTGGTAATACCTCGTTGCCAAGTGCAGTCTGTCTTGAAGCTAAATGTGTAGCAGGCATTGATGATAAAACCATACCTGGGGCACAATTCCCTATGCCCCACTCCCCCACCCCCCGCACAGTGTCTCAGGTTGGAAGGAAACAAGCAACAACGTCACTTAAGGTGACTGAGTTATAATATGGAAGTAGAGGGGATAACCTCTGGGCCTGTAGTTTACACTACTCATTTGGGGGAGGGAGGGGGGGTCATTGGTCATCCTGCATGTACCAGCCTACCTGATGTGCTAGTAATTTGCTTCCACTGTTGTGGGTATGTGCATCAGTGTACGGGTGTTCATACACAGAGTTCACATCTGGTGACAAAGCTATGAAATAGGCATGCACACATGCACTTTTTCAGTGTAAAAACACTTCTGTGCCCATGTGCCTTGAGGTAAATGTCTTAGTTGGCACGAAAAGCTGACACATGAGACTGTAACAGCATATATTTGTAATTCATTATTTCACCAGTATCTTTCCTCTAACTTCAGTGTTGTTGCCCCTGACTTACACCTGCAAAAGTGAAAGCAGAAGAAGGAACTCTGTGTGCCTGTAATAGTTTGTATATATAGGAAACGTATATCAAATATAGCTACACGTATCAGGCCAAATTGGCTGGGGTACAAGCATTCATGGTTCCATCAAATTTCTTTTATAATAAATATATGTGTTTGCATGCACTTGTGAACAGAGAGCACGTACCTGTATGACAAGACTGCTGTCTTGTTGGTTATACAGTTGTGTTTATTGCAGAATATCCATTTATTATGCAGAGTGGAAGTATTTATAGATTAAGTTAATAAGATGGGCTATTTTTATGCATGTTGGCCAGAAAATATTGCAGCACCAATAACAGATTTTTAGGCAGCTGCAAAAATTTCTTTTTTACCCAGTATGAGGGTGCTCAGGGAGAGGAATGAACTATTAGGAAGAGGAAGTTCAGTAAAAGCCTTTTAAAAAAAGTACTTTTTTATATCAGCTGTGCTTGGGGTTAAAATCTTGTATTCTTAAAGACAGAAGTTTTTATTCTAACTGAAGTTACCGTATCTGCAGCAGAACCCACCATGGAGTGGCAGACGCTACTACACTCTGCAACTGCTGCATTCTCTGGTATCCATTCAGCAAAACACTTTTTTATTTAACCTTAGGATTAGTTCCACTGAGGTAAAAGTAACCTAAAGCACATGGTGAAATGATTTGTTGAATAGGAAGCCAGGGTTCTCAGCACCTTTGTGGGGCTTGGTCCTTCGTTAAACAGCAAGTGCCAGGAAGAAAGGAGAAGGCTACAAATTTTGACTGGCTGATTTAATTCAGGTCAGTGCTTTAAAAATAATTAAGTGCAAAACTTATGAGTAGAGCCACAGAATCTACAAGAGGACATCTGTGCAAGCAAAATGGGTTTTTTTTTCATGTGTAAGAAAGGGACATTCGGATATTTTCCAGGCATTTTAAAAAGATGAAAGATGTGCGTAAGGAGACTTTCCCCACACATATTTCTAGCTAGGGCTTTTCTCAACTGTACATCGTACTGTTCTAAATAACTAAAGCATAAAAAAAGAAAGAAGGAACAATTAAATACATTGTAACTTGTTTATGCAGAGAGAGGAGGGGTTGCTAAACGAAAAGTGGGGTTTTATTGGGTAGGGAGAGAAAACATTTATTCAAAGAAGAGCCAACAATACCCTTTTCCTATACATTAAATGCAGTTCATATTTCACAGAGTATATTACAAGGGCGTTTCTTCTATCTTTCACATACCCGCTTGCCTGCCCAGTGACACAAACAAGGCAGCACCCTTGCAGGTGGAAATATTCTATATTTACCACCAAAGCAACTCAGAACCCTCTGGCTGGAGGGTCCCGTCCCACCCCAGCTGTCTGTGAAGTCATCTGAGGTGGGCACCTCCATCTTTAGTCGAGTTTAATCTTCCCAAAAGAGTCAAATGATACCAGGAAGTCAAAAAAATGTACATCTGGTGTAAGAGACCTGGGCTCAGGGTGTTAAGTGAGAAAGCTTGGCCACTCCTGCCTGTTGTGTCCTCATCGGCATGGTGCATCCTGGACATGGTTAACAGTTTTGGCAAGGGAGGTTTGCAAGAAGCATCAGTTAAAGGAAGGGCTTTCAGCTATGTGACTACAAAAGCTCCTACTTACATTACTAAAGGTTTTTGGTGATCAGACATTTTCAGTAAAAACTTTAGTACTCATTTTAGAAAACTGAGTTGCAATGCATGCTACCAAAAGGAAAACTTTTCTTGTGGGAGAAGAAGATAGCTGAACTTCTGATTCTTTTGTTACTTTTACAGTCCAGCTGACTTGTGCTTCGCTGCTGTCGTGGCTCCTGCAGCTCCAGTAACGCAGCTGTTGAGGTTAGATCTGTGCTGGAGGAGTTTTAACTCATGTGGAAACGGTGCTCCCCTCGAGTTATGTGGGAAGAGAATTCGTACCTGTCCTGGCTATGGTAGCCACACATGTTGCATTCAAAAGGATCACGGAACCCATGGCAGCCCATATGGATTGTATACATAACGTGATCCAAGAAAAGAACTCGACAGTGTTCACACTTGTAAACTTTCACTTGCTCCCCATTGCTGCTGATCACTTTGAAAGCATCCGGGGAATTGTCAGTACCTGCCCTCAAGACATCATATTGCCTGTTTTCTTCTTTTATGGAGATGCCATTTCTTGCATGGGGACCTATGTGGTTTGTCAGGTAGATTAAACCACTGCGTTCCTCGTTATTGCTCTCTGTATCTGTTGAGTCTTGGCAGCTGTTGCTGGGAGAGGCGTCTCGTTCAGAGGAGACAGATTTGGCTTTGGAAAGCAGCAACAAGTTTTCCACTGCGCTGTCCTGAGATGTGTGGTTGGAACGAGCCTGATTGTCCCCGAGAGGTTTGTGGAGCTGATACATTGGGCTGATGACAGGCACCATCTCAGAACCACCTGGTGGTGTCTGGACAAGGGGACGCAAGGACTCTGCCCCCAGGTAACTGATGGCATTATTAATGGCCTGGTCTATAACGTGCGTCTGCATTATCTCATTCTCCTTCTCATAGTTGGTGGTGGCATCGTATGGAAGATCAGACAGGCATTTCTCACCTGTAGTGAAAAGCAGTCAGGAGTTAGAGGGTTGATTTCTTTGTAATTAAGGAACCAAACATCGTGGATTAATAAAACAGCAACATGAAAGAAAAGAATTGGTCAAATACCACCTGAGGTATTCATAGTTCTCTAATACCGCTGCTCAAAAAAATTGTTGGTTGGTGGGGTTTTTTGTTTGTTTTAACCTAGAAAATAATCTGAGGTCTTTGGAAAGGCAAATGGATGAAAACGGATGCTGGAGCTAACTATATGGAGATTCATGAGAGCTAAAGCTTGAGTGCTCCATCCTCTCTTTCTCCTTTAATCTGGACTCCCTCATCTGCCTCCTGCAGTGAACTGAGGCAAGCCTTTGTGGTTAGTGAAGACAGTGAAGACAAGCACAGTTACAGCCAGCCTGGCCTCCATGCTTCAGAACATGAAGCACATTGTCAATATTTTTTCCCCAAAATACTACAATTTTATAGTGGAAATGGTATGTTTTAGTTTTAGACCTTCAGTTTCTTACAAATAACTCACATTGGCAATGTGATTATATGTCATTTTGGACAAAAATAAAATCTTAACTTTTCAATTTCCCCCCCTCCCCCCCTTGTTGTTTAAATAAGCCATCGTAGACACATTACTAGAAGCTACTTATGTTTCTAGAAATTGTGGTGTCAAAAAGTTGTCATGTACAGGAGCAGCCAAGAACCATGAAAAAAAATTAAGAGCACTCGTAGTTGGGATATATTTTTCCTATGAGACAAAAAGCCCTATAGAGCAAGGTATATAGACCAAGATTACTTCTTACTTGTAACTTTGACTCTGATTTGGGATACCAAATATAAGGGGGGGACTCTTTAACTTTTTAAAATCAGACTGCACTTATGTATCTATAGCTGGATTCCCCTGTATTGAATGCTGAGTTCCACTACAATTTCTCAAGATTCCAGGACAGATAGGACTAAGCAAAACAGAGAAAGTAAAATTTAGGAGTGGAAGAAACTTTTTAAGTGCACAGATGCTGTTTTTATGAACTCCAACAGTCTTCTCCATCAGTGTAAAGCACCAATGTTCTTATAAGGCCCCTAAGAAATTTATACAAATGCAAAGGGATAAGAAAATCCCACAGGTTCCTAGGAACTACCAGTAACACCCTGTTTACAGTCTGGATGGATTTTCTAGCTCTGTAGATCTTGGGAAATTCACTGAAAGCCACAAACATCTCTATGAGGGGCTGTCACCATTTTCTAATCTGCATGACATTGCTGGTAGGCCTTGGAAAGTCCTAATTTGTCTAAAATAAATGTTAATATGAGCATGGAAAGTTTACCAGATCTGCAAATTAAGTTGACAAGAATTACCCACCCAGATTCTAGTCAAATTGACTATTCAAAGTCAGTAAAGAGCTCAGAAAACATCTAGCATGACTCTATTGCAATGATGGGGCTAAAGTGTAGAAATTCCTGTTGTCTACATTTCCCGCAAGATATGGTTTCATGCTAGCTTGTCCATGATCTGCAAGCAGAGAAAGAAACACAGAGCATTTCATAAGTTCCTACAAGGGATGTAGGGTACAGACACCTTCTAGCTGTGCTGCACAAAATTCTACTTCCTCTTGTTTCCTTTCCCTGTTATTCCACCAATGTGAGCACCCCTCTATGGGGATACATTCTTTTTTCTTCCAGATTTACCCTTTCTACTGCTATAGTCTTCAGGCAGAGTCTGAGGCTTAAGATTCAAAACAGGCATTGTGAAAGACTCTTGAGTTAAATATAGAAAAACTCTGCTAATATGAAAGTATACCCTTGACACAAGGAGTTAAAAATGAGGTCAAAATCATTTATATTCCATGGGCAATGTATACCCCTGAGAAGTGGCACTGGTCTTCATTATACACAAAATTTGAGGCATCTGGAAGGCATGATTTTAATAGCTATTTCTTGGGTAGTCTTTGCTTTATGTAGCCTAACTAGCTGGCTGTTGGACTGAGAGGATCAAGTGCTCATATGAAAAATCGTTTCCAAGCAGAGTGTCTGAAACAGACACAAAGTTGAGGTAGGCAGGTAGCATTTCTATATCTGGGCAATGCAGGTAACACTTCTACTCATTAAAAATAATAGCTCATTTCTGTGGTTATCAGAGCATAAGTAAATTAAACTGCTAATGGTTTGATGCACTTCAAGCTTTGCACTGCTTATGGTTCTGCAGTAGGTACCAGATTGTAAACCCCTGCCTTTTCTTTACTGCCTATTGTTTCCACGTGATAAACATGTGTCAACCCCACCTACAGTTCTCACTCTCTGGTTTGGATGGCACAGTTCTGCTTTCGGGTCTGGGAGCTATTCCAGTTTGGGACACATAGAGAATTTTACAGATAACTGGCTTAATTTGGTGAACAATCTCACTTTTGAAAGGTAATGAATTTAGCCTTGAGAAAGAAGAGTGAAGCAGCAGATCATCTTTCCCTTATGCAAAGGGTGCCATTTGCTCCTTCTCCCTGGAATTCAGCATGGGATTTGGGATGACACAGTGATCTACAGGAGCAATAAACATGTTTTATTACACAAAAGCTCTCCTGACCAGCTGGCCCAACCTTGTGTTAATCAGGAATGTACCTATTACATGAAGCAGCAGATGAGGATTGGAAAGGAAAGGATTTGGGGGCATTTTCTTGTCAGAAAAGTTCATCCTTTTGGAGTTTAGCAAATTTCCATTAATATCTACTGCCAGTAGGTTGTCTTCCTACACCACACCCTGAATAACTAACTGACAGGAAACTCAGCCCTCCTAAAACTTGTAGTTAAACTGGCTGTCTTTACTGTTTCTCAGGGTGAAAAGAAAAAAGGAGAATGAAAAAGCTAGTCCACACCCACAGATACATCTCATATAAGATACTTGCTAGTACTTTTTAAACTTTAATACTTTTAGTCTCCCTGGAGCTTTCACAGAATTAGTATTTTGCCTAACGCTATCAGGTACTAGAGTGTCTAAATGAATCAGGTTTGCCTCACGTAGTTGATATATTTTTGGTAACTATCTCTACTACAGCTTTTGTCCTTTAAGAAACATAAGCATTTCTTGTCCTTGACTACCTCCTGCTATTGTTGCCTTTGGACTTTAAAAAAATCTTGGACTTCCATTTCAGATCTCCTGTTGTAGCTGAGATTCCCCTTTCCTTGTCTCAGAAATACTAATTTTCTTTTCAACCTTGTGTCCTCATCGAATAAGGTATATTTGGAATTTCTGTCCCATAAACTGGTCTTTTTTGACCTTGACTTTTGACTGAAGACCTTCTTAACATGTGTTTTGTTTCAAAAACTTCATTTTTCTCTAATTGTCTCCTATAGAATGATATTATAAATGAATATGCAGAGTCCTTTCCAACCCTAACTATTCTATGATTCTATGATTCTATAATCTGACTAGCTATGAGTAGATGCTGTCCTCTGATCTCCCATGTTTTTATTTATGTAAGACTAACTCTACATAGCTGACAAAATACTGTCTGTGTGTCACACAAAACTCATGTGACCACTATTTGGTACAGACTTATGGAACAGAAAAATATACATATAGCCTCCATTTTTTTTTACTGTTAAGACAGAAAACTACTAGGTGTAAAAAGGCCAAGTTTTTGCATTATTTATAGAATATACCCAAAGATCTTTTAGGTATTATTCTCAGATCTGGTTTTATTTGTTTCCATGATTATTTTGGGCTGTAAAAGTAAAGTATACAGGCTTTATGAAGGGATGAAGAATATCATCAACTACTCACAGATACTTTCACAAAGACCAATATGGCCAGATCTGAATGTCATCCAATATGTTAATAAACTAACTCTGAAAGTATGGTCAAATGCTTTCCCAATAGGAAACATGTATTCGTATCTTCAGGTTCTTAAGGCAACTTCAAGAGCCTGTCCAGATCGTGTAATGATCTGGTTCATAAGCATTAGCAAAAGCTGAGAAAAAAGACTTAAAATCAATCTCCAGGTGTGCAAAATTACATACAGAAATGTACGCTGGAGAAGTTTGTTTGGTTTGGTTTGTTCTGGTTTTTTTTTTTTTTTTTTTTTTTTAACCCCAACACATCTCTGTATCTGCTTTTATAGATATTGCTAATTTAGTAAAACAAGAAAAATTAAAATCATAAAGCAAAAGTGAAAATCTCGTGAGATAGTTTTTTTGGTTTTGTTTTATTTTTTAGGAGACAGCAAACGTTTAACTCTTACCAACAAATTTCTGAGGCATAGAGCTCTTACGTTTGGCGACGTTACTTGCTAGTCTATCCAGCACGAGGGATCTTTCTGACCCTATCTTGCACAGGTCTTCAGCCATTTCACTCTGGTTAGTATCCTCTTTTATGACTGAAATCAAATGACATCAGAAGGGTTAGGCACACTTGTTCCATTTTAATGGAACTATTGTCTTCACGTTATTGTTTCTCAGCTAATGTCTTTAAGATCCCAACCAACTGGAAGGAGAAGCTCACCACCACAGACACAGGATGATTCTGACTCTTGTTAACAGTCGTTCATGCTGATCTATCTATGTACATGTTCATGTTTCCCTCCTTTAGGATACAAAAATGAGATTGCAGCTGCAAGGCGTCTGCCTGTACGTAATGTAATACCTCCACCCTTGCTCTGGAGCCACTCTGCATTTCTGTGAATAAATGAGGTCCTAACATTATACTGGACGTAAAGAAGTTCATCTTTTCATCCTCCTGCTGTCATCCCCCACCATCCCTCTGCACCTTTCTCAGCAGAACTGCCTGTATAATCATCACTTTTTCAGCAGGAAAAGGGGACATACTTCTCATCTCTAGCAGAAGATTCATTTGCAAGCTACACCTGCCCTTCTCCCCACCCTCTTCTTTTTCCCTGGTAAACATTTCTATACTTCATTGTTGCAATTTTAGACTTTAAATGACAACTTAAGTTGCTAAAGTCACATCCATAGTGGAGCACTGATATCCAACACTCAAACCTGTCTCCCAACCTCCTGCTGCTGCTGTGACACTGTTGAATTAGAAAGGAGCTCAGCTGTAAGGCTTGAGGAAAAGGAGACTCTTTCACTTTCACTACATTTTACTTCAGTACTTTCCTGCAGAAAAGGGAGGGATGTATGAAAATGCATTGTCAAAGCAATGACTATGAGAAATATATGGAAAGGTATTTCTGACTTCCAACATCTAAAGGAAAAGTGATATGCAGCAAGATCACAACACAACTGATTGATTAATTGATTTTGTTTGGTTTTGGTTGGGTTTTTTGGGGGGGAGGGGGTGAAGGAGGGAGTTGGCAAGGGAGGTCAGAGACAGGAGAGAAAGGGGTTAATTTTACTGTTATCTAATACTAGGATGCAGGTATTTTTCCTGAACTTGTGAGTTGCTATTAAAGAGAGAAATAAAAGATGACTTTTAGATTTGATTCTGCAAGCTATTTCAATTGGATGCACCACTCTGCTACATTTTGCCTTTGTGTGTGCCTGGTGAGAATTTGTTTTATCACTGGGTTTACTGGTTCACAGAACCCACTACTCTGGCACCTGGGTCTTTCTCAATAGTGGAGAACACGCTGTTCCTATGCAATATTATTTTGGCAATATACCACTGACATAAAAGGATGTTTGTGAAAGTTTCATTGTTCCTGAAAGATGTGAAATCACGGTCTGGTGGATGATTAGAAGGAGGAGGTAAAGGGTCCTAGACAACACCACTCCACAGCACCAAACTGAAGAGTACACAACTCTGCAGTCCCCGCTGCAGTAACGCGTACTTCAGTGACAGTGACAGTGAGTCTCATGGAATTAATTATGCCCCAGCCCCATAAGATACTGAAGACTGTGACAAATGTAAGATATGAGCAGAATTTGATCATGAAGTTGAAGAAGAGTAAAGGGCATTGTTGGTACCTAGTCATCATTGAACAAGCACACGCCAGCATCTTGTGCTGGCTAAGGCTTCCAGATACCACTTCAGGAAGAGACAAAGCAGCCTATTCAACAGGGAAACAAATGATTGAATTGCTAGTTAAAAGTGAAAATTATCAAGAAATATCTGTTCAGGATATAATAACATTCCATTTCTAATCAGTTTGAGAGTGGGTAAGTTATGTATTCAATTCTCAAACTTTTAAAACTGCTACATAGAAAAGTAAAAATTACATACTAATTTCAAGCCTTTGCAACTGAACCCTCCTGAAATTTGCTACCAATCTGATAACTATTTTTCTGTAACTTGGTGTTTGTGAACTGAAAAAAAAAAATATTTTATCTTTTCAAATAAAAATCCACAAGTGACTGAAGAATTGTAATTGACCTTCTTTAAACTTTGTAAACTATGTCTTCTGCTATTTTATATAGGCCTGGTAAGACTTCAGCACACTTTCATTCAACTCAAATGCAAAACTCCAAATAATATCCATAAAAGAAGAACTTCACATAGACAGTGAGATTCTCATCCTCTAAAATAAGAATTTTGCCATTAACTTCAGCAGATTCCTAATTTCATGCTGAGCCTCCTTTTTTAAAGAAAGCAAACAAGAATTAAAATATGAATACAGTCTCTTGCTCCCGTTTACTCTCTTTGCTGGATCTTTCCCTTATTTAAGTACTTCATATTTATGATATATCAATCAGATTTGTTAGATTTACAAGCTGATTAAAAGCTTCTACCAGTTCAGGCCCTTTCAACTGATGATTTTTTTAAGTATACTGCACAAAGTATTTTAAAAATGCTGTACAAAGCAATCCCAATCTAGCAGAATATCAAATCAGATGTTCTAGCAGATTTTTGTACAAACTTTTTTGAGTCTGAAGGGCCTGAATTTTGGCTTTAATAGCTCCATATCACACCCTGAAATATTACAAGAACAGTGGTAGCTTAGCTATTTGCTTTTCTAGATATAATGTAGAATGCATTAAAAATCCCAGAAGGACACCCACTCATTCTCAACTGTTTCATTGTACATTTTCATCTTTGAGTTTATAAGGAAATAATGTAAAATGGCAAAATGGTAAAATATTATAGTTGCAGTGAAGTGGAATAGATTAGAATGAAAAATACTAGGAAAAATGCAGGAAAGTTTCCTCTTTTAGAAACACAAATAAATCGATTTATTAGTTCTGATAACTCAATTTGTTTAAGAGTGAAGTTTTTGGTTGGATACAAGGTCTAAACCCTGAAGTTTATCCCCTATTTGGTTTTTGTTTTTTGGGGTTTTTTGCCTAATGTGAAAAATCACTCCTATTAAATATGGATTTATATAATATTTTCAGTATATGCAAGGAAGAAGTAATTCTTCCAAAGCACTCATGAATTCCACACGTTTTCATCCCACTGAGATATTAGACATTCAGTCCTAAGCTAGTGTAAACTCTCCTGTCATGAGTTTCTATAAACAAAAGTCCATCTCTAAAATGGTATTATTCCTTATCAAAGTTTATAATTCCTGACACCAGTTTCACCTGGATATTTTTGCTTACTAAGACTTTAGTAGTAATTCAGCTACTTGTTCACGCAGATTTTCATGTTCTGTGTGCAGGCATTCAAATGCATGTGCCAGATACTCAAAATTCAAATACTAACACAGTATATTTGCTTCTAAATCCTACCACCTCTTTGAGGAATAAGTATTGCTGCCTACTGTGTATTACATTGAGCTTTTCTATTTATACATACATTCTCCAGCCCCTCAATAAAATTAGAAGAGGTGCTGCTTTAACTTGCTGTTTGCCAGAAGCATCTCAGCCGTATTTGCTGCTATCATTATGTGCATATACTTTACATTATTTGATAGCATGTAAAAACATATTCAGGTTCTGTCCAGATACAAAATATTAAACGAGGCGTCATTGCAGATAGGTCAGAGGCAACCTTCCATTTTCATAATTTGAAAAGCCAAATAACATATACTGACAGGATCAAAAAGGTATACAAGAAGTATAACTTACTGGATGGGCTGAAACTCCACCACAGAAGATGGATCTTTTAATCTCTATCTAAAATTGCACACGTGAGGGGATTTTGTATGGCTATTTACTGCAATCAATCCCAGATGGAACTTTAGGATCTTTGTTAAAAACCAATCCAAACCCCAATATCTGCTTGCTGTATTTCTGGGCATAATTTTTGATTTGATATTCTCTGAGAAATGGACTTTACCTTCATCATAAGGCTGATCTCTCAGGGAAGCACAACAGTTCACCACATGCCCCCAGTTTTCTTTCAAACAGGAGGTTGGGAAGAAAGCTGTCAAGAAATTATTAGCCTTTCTGGATTATCTCAGACAAACTAGCTATATTAAATGCCTCTGGCTTCGTGTCCTCGTGCTTGGAAAGTGGGATCAAAGACAGATGATTCATCTTTGTTAGATGAGTTGGTCCCAGTGGTCAAGTATGCCAGACTGTCCTAACGATGGAGACAATCGGTTTGACTCGGAGATGAACCACAGACGTATCACGCGGTGGCATGTGCCTGGTCTGTTCTTTGGTAGCCTTTAGGTCTCTGTCTTTCTGGCTTGGGATATCTCAGGGTTTTACACCTAATTTAGAGCTTGTAATAAACTTTCTAGTAGTTTGGGGTGTATATGTGTGGCTTAAGTTCCTTCTCCACCCAGAATCATTCGATGCCTGGAACATCAAGTAAGCCCTTTAAGCTGTGCCTGGAAAGAGCAGAAGATGTGCAGTGTGGAAGCTTCTGCAGCCTTACCCAGAACACTGATATTAAGCCTTTATTAAGAATATATCCACAAAAGTACTGCAATACAGGATTCGGGGCAAAAGGGAAAGGTGGTAAGATGATGTAGTCATACTGTCTTGAGATGGTGAACTGAAATTTTCCATGTCTTGTGAGTGTTTTGCTACACATCTGAGTTTTACTTTGGCTTTTTGTTTGAGCTAAACAAAATGATACAACAACCAAATATTTATCAAATATAGAATAAATCCAGATGCAATATCATACATATGGGGTGGGGGTGTGCCTCCCCAATGCAAAAGATGCTGCAAATGGTACTACTGTTCTTTTTGCACTTCTTTTTTGTGTACATGACAAGACAGAGTTAATCCCCAAATGGGCACGTTCATTACCTGAATAAAGGCTGCTTGAGATATTCATGGTTTGCAGGTAGTTATGACAGCGTTCTTTATGTTCTTCCAATGAACTGCGCTGCTTATAGCTGCGACCACAGTATCCACATTTATGAGGTTTGCCAACTGCAGAAAACACAATCAATGGAGAAATTCAGATGAGGTATTCAACAGTCTATTAATAATGGTAAGAAGAACAGGAAAAAAACCCATCCCAAAAATAAACCCATGCTCTGGTGAACTGAAAGAAGATTTTGTTAAAAAAAAACCAAACAACCCAAAACCTAAACCCAAACTAATGGAAAACTAGTTGATTATCTTCACATCAACAGGCCAATTCTGTGGGTGCTGCAAGATGATTTTAGATGATTCACATCAGATAAAGACTGAGACATTAAATCTTTGAAAATGGCATCTGCACAAATTAGAAACTGAGATACCTTTCAAATTCTGAGTATAGTTGCTGTAGTGCCTAGCTCCCACAGAAACTGACACTGGGGAACTGACAGTGTAGGTAGAGACACCTGCCCATGACTGGATGCCAATTCTGATGTAACCACAATCAGCTCAACCCTTTTAGGACAATGTTAGATTTCATATGTTTCCTGCTTCTCGAAATCCAAGAGACATGGCATGACAAAACATTTTCTGCGTTACACCAATCCAGACGCAGGTAGTTACAGTTTTGCGGAAAGAATACAGTTTCATAGACTTGTGGACCTGAATTTTCTGTCTTAGCATGACAAGACTGTTACCTTATATGTGATTTCACAGTTTTAGATGGTTACACAGCTTAACTTTTGAATTCCATTTACAAATTCTCAAGTGAAAATCAGACTCAGACATCCAGCTTATTTTATAATGTATTGATATCAATTTGCCAATTGCAAGAACTAATCACAATCTATAGTTTATGCATTGTCTCTTTTGCTACCGAATCCTCAGTTTGCCAAAAGTGTCTAGGTGTAATTTCATGCATACATGAAAAATTATGTTTAAAATTGTGCAGCCATGAAAATCAGTAACAGTAAGGAAGAGGGAGGCAAAGTAGTATTTTAAAAAATACTCTTTCCTGAGTTGGGCCAGGGCTGGACAGGGGAAGTGGAAATTATTTTGGACATCTGGGACCAACACTAGGGTTCTTATTATTTAATGTGTGTTCTAGAGAAGAATTTCCTTAGTTTTGTGCAACACAGAAATGTCACTGTGAGAGCTCCCCTTCTGATAGCCAGAACTTAGTCCCAAAGCCAACTTTCACAAGTAAAGTTACCACTGTTGGGTTTTTTTTAGCATTGTGTTTTGGAGGTCTATCCAAATAAAAATTTGCATTTCCAGCTTAGCATGGGAAACTAGATGAGACAACACTCTGCTTTTAAAGGCACTTTGAAGGTGCTATATTGGTTTTGCTTCACAAAAGGTGTATGACTATGGCTTCTGTCAAACAATGAAAGGTTCACGGTAACGGAAAAGTGCAGCTGTTAAAAAATATTTGTCCAATATACTGTTGAGGCAAAACACTGAAAAACTCTTGAAAGTCCTCTTTTTCTGAAGATTATTATCTTTCTCTCTCCCACCCTCTCCCTCCTCCCCAGTCTTTCTCTTTCAAAGTAGTTGTAATAATGAGGTGCAACAAATAACTGCTGCTAAATGCTGTGGGTGGTATTCACTCTTAGGTCAAGAATGACTACCAGACTAGAGGTTATTGAGACTTTGTGACTTGAAACCTACTGTTTAGAACTTACATTATCTCTATGTGCTGATAAATGCCACCCAAACCGTAAACCAATTCATCAGTTTTAATTCATGTTCGTGGTTCCATGAAATGGATTAGTCACATGAGGCTTGTAAGATGAAACCCCAATACAGAAACTTTTAATCAGCTAAGAAGTATGGGAAAAAATACACGAGCATGAGAATGAGATGTGTTTAGTCATTTCTTTGCTGCTAAAACACAGTGGCCAGCTCACAGCTTGGTTAACCCCAACATGGGGCTACTCGCCTCCCCAGGGTGAGAAGACCTTTCAGGCTTGGGGGCTACAAACACCTCCGCCTTCTCAGTGGGTACAGTGATGAGTGCCCCTGGATGGTCCCACACCTTCACTTACCCGAGTGAGTCCTCAGGTGTCCCGTAAGGGCATCCCTGCGACGGCAGGCGTAGTTACACAGGTGACACTTGAAGGGCTTTTCACCTGAATGCAACTTTATGTGGCGCAGAAGGTTGCCCTTCTGTGTAAAGGAGGCTCCGCACTGATTGCACTGGAAAGGGCGTTCTCCTACAGGAAGAAGGAGAAAATATGTGAGAACAAAAAATCTTAGCGGTAACAAGAGAAAGATTTCAGTGAGAAAGTTGTTTTCTCACTGCTGCTCTGTGACTTCCACCGGCTGCAGGTTTGATATAACACGAGGCTTTCAGACTAAACCTGCCAGTTTCTTAATGCTTCACTGGCTGGGGCAATTTGATCTGAAAATCTAATTTTTTTTTTCTAAATCAGAATGGCACATCACAATGCAAATTCAAACTCATTTAAATAAAGTGACTGCAACATTTTGTGTTGAAGAGCCACTCTTCCTGATCAGCAGTTTTGGAATAAACCAATATCCAATTTTGCATGTTGTGGCATTTGGTGGGGTTTTTAATGTGGCTTCTTTCAAAGGGTCTTTAAAATATGCCACTGAAGCAGCAAAATAAAAAGGAAACTCATTAAAAATGCATTTCAGGATCACAAGTTCATTTCAGCGTTACATTCTTATATTTAAATGAAAGGCACTTCATTATAACAGTTATAATAACTTCTTTTCATTTACATTTTCCCTGTATTTTCCCTTTCAATTTCTTCTCCATTACCTGTCTGTCCCTAAGCAGCCAAATCAGGAAAGAGACAGAGAAAGAGAGAGAAAGAGAGAGAGTAAAATCACATAAGTTAAGACAGTGCAAAGGAAGCTCTGTACTTCCATGCTGAAGTCCCAGCCCTTCTCCAGGCCAGGTATAAGCAGAGGAGCTGCACAAATGGGCTCTGCTGGTCTATGGTTTGGATTGATGTGGGTTAAAACTTGGAGACACAGCCTTGATTTGTGTAAACTGGTGCCTGCTATCAAGGAAGCAAATCAACTAGCCTTTATAAAAACTAACATGGCAATTGTTTGCTTTTTAGTGCTGTTTAAAATCAATATGCTCATTTATTCACTTAGCTTTTTTTAAAAAATTTAAGACAGTTGAAGCCTTTTCTAAAGTCAGTGGGAATTAAAATATGTTGCCATTTGTACCAGGTAGGAGTAAAGGAAAATTTATATACGAGAGTATTCTGTCACCAGGAACCACTCCTGCAAGCCCATTTCTCCATAGTCCTTGCCTAAGTCAAATCAGACTTTGAAACTCATTTGTTGAACTCTGTTTCCCTTAGGTATAAATGTAATCTGCTCTAGTAATTATGACACACTGACAGTATTAGAAACAGCCCAGAGATGACCTGTTCTTAGTTTTGATTTTCTTTATGTAACAGTAATATTGAATTTAAAATTTCAGTGCTGAAGTTAAAATATGCAAAAAAAAAAAAATACGTGTGAAATAATTTCTTTCTCTCTCTCATTTAATCATCATGTATTATTTTGCACATCTAGGACCAACTTGCATGTACATATGTGAGCCTATATGTGCAGCATGGTAATTTCTGACTTTTGGGTAATGCAGTAGAACAGATGAAAATCGATTAGACAGCAGCACAGCCATAAACCAAAAATCTGCAAACTCCGCCATCAGGGCTGGTAGATTTAGCATTCAGCAACAATAAAATTAATCTGCTTTATAGCAAGATATTACCATTGGTCAAACAGCTGCAAGCAGATCAGCATAGTCCCTTTCAAGCCAAATGAGCTCACTTTCTTTGTCCATCAAGTAGCTGTATTCCTCTAAACTATATCTGCAATTGGTTCAACTGGGTTGACCCACAAAAATGCCAGAATTAGCCTTATAGATTTTGCAATGTACTTCATAAACCACGCACAGTAGTTGTTAGGGAAAAAGAAAATGGGTAAGAGTCTGTCTGCTTTACCTCTTAATCTTTCAGCTAGTTACTCAGTGTGGAAGGTATTTTTCAGAAATGGACTGAAATAGTGCTGAAGAAGTCAGTTTGTCATGGGGGACACAAATTCAGAAGAAATGGTTAATTCTTACTAAAGAGCTTTTCAAGTATTCATTTCTGTTACTTTTACTCAGAGTGTATGAGGAGAAAACAAGGACCATAGAAGTACTCCATGAATGAAATGTAAAGCAAAGTAACACTGAAATCTATTTCCAACCTACAGCTTTCGCAATTACAGGGTGAAATTTTGCACTGTGTGGAGAAGACAGGTGGACGGAGCATTTCAAACGAGACTGCTGCATGCCAAATATTTCTACAGAACTTACAGTGGCACCGAATGTAAGGGAACCCACACTCACTTTGCTGTGCCAGGAAAATGACACCAACACGGCAAGATCCTGAAACTATGTGTAGCTTGGCTGACCCTCGGTTGTCCATGCTGCAACTACCCGGGTGGGGAAAGCCTGCCTTGTGAGACCAGGAAAGCTCCTAGCCCTTTTAGAATGGAAATGGTCACTGATGGAAGGTTGCTGGGTGTGGTGCTATCCCCCCAAAAAGGGAAGGATGGGAAGAAAAAATGTCATGCATCTTATATTTAAACAGTCAGCTTTGGGTGCTATTTTCTTACCTGTTCTGAACACACATGTTTATCCCGGGCCAATTTCACCACCTGGTGCGTAGCTATGGACTAATATGGGCCCAGAAGCAAAAACTGCAATGGGAGCCTTAAATTGAATCAACCACCACTGCAGTGATTTACAAGCCTTAGTGGGAGCATGGACCATGGGTTACTCATTCAGTGAAGAATATTGATCCTCTTAATTGAAATATTTATTACTTCTTAAACAATACCGTGACAAAATCACCTGATACTCAGAGACATGCATAGCTCTCTTTGTTTTGTTTTGGCATTAGTTTTTTAAAGAAGCTGGAGACATTCAGACCCAACTAACAAGACATAAGTGAACTAATTGATGACTTAAGTTAAAGGCATGTACACATAAAGAGGGAATGTATATATCTATGCACACACACATATATATATATGCACATATACGTAAGCACACCATGCACATACATATTTGCACAATGAGTAAGAGAAGCCTGAATCTATACCCTGAGGTCTTAGCACCAAGGAGCAGGAGGAGGGTTTCTCTCTCCTTTGTAGATCTTTTTCCTAAACACCAAGCAAGACAGCAGCAAGCTGGAGAAAGTCAATGTACTGAAAGCCTTGGAGAAGGAGAGTGAGGAGAGTCAGACATCTGTGAGTGGGATTCACTCCACAGATGGGAGCAACAGGTAAGGTGCTAGGAAGCAGTCAGTGCTGTACAGCTCCTAGCAGACAGGAGGGGGCAGAAATATCAGGTGCTGCTCTGCATATCTGCACTTGGCAGGTGTATTCATTTAAAGTAATTATGCTTTTTATCAGGTCAGGCAGTCATTTTATTTTGGCACTTTAGCATGCTAGAGTTTTGTTCACTTATCAAATATTTATTTAAGGAAGCCTTACTGCATATGCAGGTTTTACATGAATTAGCAGCAAAGTAATTCATTTGTGCGGCTTATTCCTTCACCAGGCATGTATTGAAATGGGCTTTGGCATAGTCAGTTAAATGTCTCTAATAGTATATCCCATTTCTACTTTAATTTTCATAATGCAGCTGAAAGGAAAAGCAGTCACCACAGTTTCCCCATGACGTCCTCTTAATTTAAACTACCAGCTTTGAGCCTCCACTCCCTTGCCAGGCCCTGAAAAATGCTTAAAAAGGCTGCTCAGGAGAGGAGCTGACGATGAGGCTGGAGGGAAAGCAAAGGCTTTCTTTCATTGGAAGGTCTCTGGAGCACAACTTCACACCCTTTAGTTTTATTAAGTGTAAAAGAAGGGGGTCCTGCTGAGCAAAGTACATCTCATGAGGTGCTTCCACTGTAGGTTTTAACAATGTTCCCTCATTAAAGAGAGGGTCCCATTGGCAAGGGGAAGGGTCTGCAAAGGGTGGAGAAGTCTTAGGGTGACAGCTTTTGTGTGTTAGCAACCCCAAACACCCTTGGCAGGCACACGAGCCCATCTGCCAGGTAGGGAGTTTGGGCATCTGGAGGTCTATGCCTGGGAAACCAGTAAGGTGACCCCAGGAGGTGCTGTCATGGGGAACAGGCAGCCCAGCTCATCCTTTGGAGACTCAGCATGTCAGGTACCAAACAGTGCACTAGAAGCACTGCCTCCCTAAAATCAAGTATCAGACACATGGCCCGTTCAGCCCTAGTGCAAACACTGCCTCTGCTCCACAGGGACCTGAAACAGCTCCTCCAAATGCAACAGCTTACTTTTAATTAAACAGAAGCCTTCTTAAAACAAGCACTAAGACTTCTACCTCTAAATGCATTTTAAGTTGCAACATTATTTCAACTACTATAGCATCCTCATCAAGCCCATGGGTCTGTTTAAAAGGCCTCCCGTCCAAGGCAGTTTCCATATGCATTTATCAACTTTTAAAGGATCACATTAACATTCAATTAAAAAAAAAAAAAAAAAAGGAAACAATAGACCAACAAGCACTTTATTATATCTAGGAAGTAGGCTGCAGCCTCTCTTCTGAGAACTAGATGTGGCTTTTCCAATAAAGATAATGATCTGCTCTTCCCTAACAGAGGGATTTATCATATTGAATTGAAGAGTACTTCGAAGTAGGCAATGTAACAGCACCGCTATCACCAGCACTGCTTCTGAGCATGGCTAACCCATGTTATGCTAACAGATTGCACCTTTCCAGAGCTTGAACAGCCACAGTTACAACAGACAGCACTGGAGGGGGTGGACAACACTCAGGGTCTTTTAGTGGATCCTTTCTATTACTGTGGAAACAATTTGCTAATCTCATTCCTTAGTAATTCTGAGGAAATCAGTTAAGCACAACTGTGAGGATGCAGAGGAAGAAAGTATCTATATGTTCACTAGCCACACTAATTCAGTGGAATCTAACCATCTGACACGTTATTCTCACCTTCAAAATATTTTAAAATTCCCTCTCATTTGAATATTCATTTGTCTTCAAAATAACTTGTGTAGCACAACAGTACAGTTCAGTTCTCCTTTGACTGTGAATGACCTTAGAGTTTAGATCGAAAGCCTGATTTTCAGACAGTTTGTATCAGGTAAGTTGAGACTTACCCTCATCTTTAAGTCTTCATTTGTATCAACCTCTTCATTTTTTGTATTCTTTAGGACTAGTTAGAATTAGAAAATCGAGGCAAGAAGATTCGAAGCACTGATACTGAAAAGCTATCCCTATGGAGCACAACATCTTTAGATGTCTCTTAGTGTTCCAGTGGAAAGAAACCATTTAGTCCAGATTTCACCAGTGGCAGTACTTGGTTTTACTTCATGAAATATTCGACATAAAATTAACCCCTCTTTTACTGTCAGTACAGTTCCCTTAACATTTATTTTTCCAATTCATAATCACCCATCCATAACGAGCTTTGTTGCGTTGTTGGAAACATTAGAACTGGGACAGAGTTAGCCACATATGAGTTTTTCTTCAGCAATTCTTTAAAATATCTTGCAAATTAAAAAAAGATACTTTTTTTTTAAATTTCATTTTTCATGTAGCTTCAAACCAAACAAACTGCACAATTTCTAGCCCGACAAATGGAATTCCATCAAGAAGAAATTTCAGTTCCTGTGTCCAACATGATGTAACAAAATAATTGAGTTCCAAATGCCCACCAATGCTGCATTATCTTACAAGAAGAAACATGTGCATGATACAGAAAATAAGTCTTAGTTCCTAAAATGTGGCCAGTTCTTGCCAGCTAAAGGAAAAACTATGGCAGGCCTTACCAGTGTGGCTTCGTTTGTGAACCATGAGCACATTGGGACCGATGCAAATTATCCCACAGATATCACATTTTAGCTTTCCATTAGGAAGTCGAATGCCTCCAACTCCTGACATAGCCTTGCTGCCTGGGCCATTGTGTGAGCCATTCATTTTCTCTCCAGAGGTATCAAGCATTCGTAAATCCTCCGCACATTCTTCCCCATTCATTTCACAGGCACGCCCATTCTCTTCATCACTCTGAGTCTCTATTTTAATAGTACCGGCTGAAAAAAACAATAGAGGATGCCACTCAGTTTTGTTACAGAATAAATATGGTGGCAAAGAAACAATCACATCAAAAGAGATAACTTGCAAATAGCATGTACAATACACCTAAATAACAAAAGCAACAAACACAACTACACTTCCATGGGCAACACAATGAGTTTGTAACACATGAAGAAATGAACAGTGAATATCAGTAAGACAAATACAAGGCATCCAGGGAACTGGGAAGCCAAACAACATTACAAGTCTCTTCTTAGGTCACTTTGAGAGTTTTGCATTCTTAATATTCATTTTGGCAATTCGGGGTAATTGAAAATGAACTTAAAATGAATCCACTTTGCATGGATTTTCCAAAACAATTGTGAAAGTAAGTAACTCATCAAACAAAATGGATGAAAATGAACTGAAATTGCAACATTCTCCTCTTGGCAGGAAGATCCCAAGGGTTGTACTTGACCCAAATACTTGGTTTGCAGTTCTATGGGGTAAATAAGGACAATGGGAAAGTGAAGAGTACAAGCACTGATAAAGAAACCAGGGTGGGGAAGGATGGAATGAAAAATTTAAGAGCAGGAACTAGCATTAGAGGAAATTATAGGAGTGACAATTCTGTTTTTAGGACAGCAGGATTAGGATCGCTGAGTGAGAGAAGAGGATCTCTACAGCCATGAGGTACAAAGACACTCAAATCAACAAAAGTGGGTAAGAGAACTGTTTTGACTTTATTGGATGAATCCTTTGTGTTATAATGCCATAGGTGACAATCACTTGCAGTTAGAAGATTTCAGGTGTAAATTTGGCACAGCCTCACTACGTGTGACAGTGTAAATTGGTAAATTTGATCTGATATGAGCACAGCAAACCTACGTGCTATGAAAAAGGGCCAAGATTCAGATTAGTTAATGCCAGTATTCATTCCTCTTTTCTCCACAGGACTGTATGATGTTTTGTGTAGAATAAATCATCTTTACAGTTATGTCCCTCTTTCCTAATCTGATAACTTGAAGTGAAAAATTAGTTCTTCATTCCATTGCCCCAAATCTTACTTTTCTTTCAGTGAAAAACCTCTTCTTTCACCTCACCCCAAAAAGGAAAGCATTTACTTCAGTGCCTAGCTGAGTGCGTGAGGAGTCTGTTTTACCTGATAAAGACCAGGTCTTTCCTTCTGTGGAACAGTAGTTTCATGGTAGAAACGTATTCATACGTGGTGGTGTAGCAACGACATAACTAAGCTATGGGCAATAATTACCTCAAGATATGAAAAACTTTGACATTCACTTGAAAATGAAAGGTGTAACAAACTCTTCCCTGCTACCACCCTACAATAACCCAGGAGGATTGCATGGATGTGACTGACAAGAGTGTCTGACTTAAAATCTTACTGGGAAACATGGTGAATATAAAAGTGTTCACATTTCTGAACACTGCCTAACTGGACACCTTTTATGAAGTTTATCAAGCCAGGCATTTTAAAGATTTTTTAAATATTGCATTTTTACTAGAAATCATATGCAAGACAGAATGACTGCACATCATAAATAGCAGGATTTTCTTTAAAACGTATGCCCTAAAAAGAGGAATAATTTAGAGCTATGGGGGAAAAAAAATCAATGACCAAACAGTGTTTTACAAAGGCAGCATGACTGGCTAAGCAGAAATGACCTACACTATTCTGCAAATTTAGTGAACTACAACCCCGTGCTGCTGTTTTCACCATGGTCAATGGAAGTAATATAACTATTTGGCTTGAGCACATAACAGATTTTCTGTAATTCACATACCATTGTTTTAATTTTCATTATAAGAATAATAAGAATAATTTGAAAGTAAATATATTTATACAAAACAATTACAGACTCCTTGCCTGCCAGGGATTTGGAGAATGTGGCTTTTGAAGTAGGCTTTATATTAAGATGAAACAATACATATGAACGAAGCAAAGAAATCAGGCTGATGAAGCTCTTGGGTAGTGTATGCAGACAAGTGTACATTACTGAGAAGTGAAATGACACAAACAAAAATTATAGAAGTCAGAACTAGACAGAAATGCTCTGTAGTGAGCTGAGTTTGCAATATACTTACGGGAAAAAGATTTGGGAATTATTGCATGAAAGTCCCTAAAGCCTTCTGCCACGTATGCAGCTGCAATAAAGAAGGCAAACAGGATGCTGGTTTGTGGTACTGCTATCAGCAAATGTAAAAGAAGATGTCATTATTGCTATAAGAGAAATACCTAGGAGAAAGACAGAGCTATCATCACAGAAACAACACAAGCAGTTTAGGATGAAGCAGGAAAGCAGCAGGACAGTTGGCAGGGAAATCCTGACCTGCCCAAAACAACTCCCATTTGTAAAAATGCCCTTTTCTTCCAAAGCATCTCCAACAAGTTTTATTGTGTTTTCTAAATGCATAACCTCTGTTGGGTATTCCCATCACTCACAGGTTAACTTCTGCTGAAGTCAAGAGGAGCTTTTGCTGAAGTGTCTCAAAAGGGTCAACAGGAGCAGAGTACCTAACATCCTTCTCCTGACCCTAGGGAAACTGCAGGCCCCTACCATGCAAGCTTCCTCTCAGGATTTATTTTTTGCCAACATGCCCTCTTTGTGTGTCAGAGATCTCTTCCTTATACATGCTTGTTTCTGGTCACCGCAGTTATAAAAAGTGAAATTGCATTGTTTTCTTCTTATGCCTGCTGGTCTTACACAATGGAAGAAGAGAGAGTTCAATTTTAAATATAAATCTATTATTATGTATATTGGCATATTTTTTGTTTGCATTTCTAAGGCTTGTCCTCACAATGTATCTACACAAAAGTAGCTGCACAGACACACTATACACTGCATATTATGAGTAGCCATGTGCAAATTAACATGCCATGGGGCACACTGATACAAGTAATGATGGAGTTCACTACTTGACATGAGCAATGATAGGGATATTGATTCAGTCAATCTTCACTAAAGCTCTCCACAGCTATGCTCCTGGACTGCCATAGCTGTGCTGCTCAGTGAATGTCCCCACGCAGATGAGGCCAAGCATCCAGGATGCCCTTACAAGCACATCCATTCAGCAGCGCAGTTCATGGCAGGGGCTGTGTTCAGGTGAGGAGCTCACTTTGCCAGTGAAAGCTGATGGATGGTGGGGCCACCCTGCCTCACCCTGGGTCCTAACGGAGATTTTATAGGTGTAATTAACAAATAAGATCTATTCATGTTCAAACTCAGCACTTTCTGCAAACGTGTTTTCCAAATGCAAACTAGTGAAAAAAGCCCCACTGATGTAGGAAACAACAGGAGAAACACTAAGGACTTCTGTTAAATCTGAATAAGGAATGGGAAAGCAGGCTACATTTTTTTTTTTTTTTTTTTTTTTTTTGTGGACTTAAAAAGTAAAATCAATAGTGTTTTCTATTTCTTTTGTGAGAGAGGTTCCTGTTCCTCCCTTGTTATAGTGGAGAAAATCACTCTTGGAGCACTGATGATGTGACAAATACCTGGGAAACAGGCTTTTCAGATGCACTGATCAAAAAAATACTCAGCATTTCTACGGCTTTCTCAAACAGTTACTTGATACAGTGTTTGTAGAAATAATTTCTGTGCACATCCATAGATATACATGCAGACAATTAACGGTAATAATTTCCCACTGGCTCTTGTAACACCATTAAGAAATTACTAATTAATTAATTTACTTCAATTTGGTTGGAGATGACCTTAAAAGGCTCTGTGTTTTACTCTCTTTGTACATATTAGTGCAATTCAGGGGAGTTTAATACAAACTGTTTTATTTGTGCAAGGAGTGTGGCGTGCACCAATGAACCGACAGCTTTCCCCTGCTCCATTTTTACCTACTCAGAGTGTGGAAAAGTTACCAAAAAGCAGGGCACTGAGTGGGGGTCTCGTACTCTCTGAGGTTTACTGGGAGCTTCAGTCAGGATTTTCTGAAGAGCATTTGAAAATTATGTTACAAAGACTGCTCTGTACTCTATGGTTAAAGGTGTTTCATGGAGATTTTTGGAAAAAGAAAAAAAATTGATATGTCAAAGGGGAAAGAGGTGATATGATCTACCACTGAAGTGCTGTGTAGCTGGCTCAGCATGAGACTCAGGCTGGGACAGTCAGGAAGGCAGAACGGAGGGAGAGGAGATGTAGTCACACTTCCCTAGAAAGCATTGAGCAATGTGGAGAGGGAAGGGAGGCATTTTGCAATGAGTCAAAGAGTTGGTAGTGGGGAGAAAGGAGAAACCAAATGGACCTCCTGGGAAACAGGATGTGGATGGTGGCTTTTAAAGTGTAGAGAAACAGGCAGTTGGAAAAAAGACATATGAAGAATTAGTAATTTGCTTTCAATCCATTGCCAATTTACCATCTCTTATAGCTATGGGACTCCCTCTGAGATGTAAAACCATTTTGGCTTTGGGCGACTTTGGCACTGGCACAGGTTTAATGGGACAAAATCCCCTTTGAAAGGGGGCATTCACCTCCCAAGTCATATTCTTCTCCGGTGGGATTTTTTTGTTGTTATTCCAAGACAAGTCAGAAGTATTTTGCTGATATGAGTTGGTGTGTAAATGGTAGCTTTAAAGTCCAACAAGAGTTTTGCATGACAGCATCATAACTATTCAAGCAGCAGACAGATGAAGTTGCAACAATGCTGGCTGATTTGACAGTGGATAAACACTGTTATGGTGCAGAGGAGAAAACCCTTAACACTACATATTAGAGAAAATGCTGCAAAAAAGGCAGACTAAGATGCAGAAAACCCTATCAGGCCAAACTAAATCATCTTGTCGTGTCAACACATGTCAACAAAAGCAGCCAGGGTCTCTTCCTCTTTACATAGGTGCAAACCCCAGAAAACAAAATTGCCAGCAGTTCCACCTGTTATTTATGTTTCTTCTATTCTGTTTTGTTACAGTGTGCCAAATTCTAGCACTTTTTTATGACCTGAAATCCACTTTCCCATCCACTTTTTTTTTTTTTTTTTACATCATAGT